CAGGGATGAAGAAAAGCCCAAGATTCCCTGAAGAGACTGAGGAATCCTTCAATATAATTTCCTGAGAAGTTCCTGGCTACGACCAGAGCTCTACAAGGCACTGTAGAGAACTCAGAAAAGGTATAAGACCTGAATTTTGCCTGTAAGAAGTGCCCATCAAACAGGAGAGAACAAGGTTAATCGCGAGAGAGACCGGGTTCCCCCACGGTGCCTAGCACAGTTCTTGGCATATTATAGAAGCTGCATGGATGAATGAATACAAGGGAATAATCAATAATTAGGTTATGGAAGCCAGAGAGATCCACAGGTCTTGAAGAAGCCTCCCTGGAGAAGTGAAAATTGAACTGGCATAAAGAATGGGCAGAATTTGTTGATGTGAAGGCCAAAGGGGGTGTAAAAAATAAAAGGAAGAATGAGAATGGGTCAATGAGAAGCTCAGAGCTGAGGACAGGGCCTGGGGAGCCCAGGTGTCTGAGAAGCCCTTTGCACTACCCCAGGGGACCCGGAAAAGAGATTAGAGACCAGAGAGAGGAGCCTCCTTCCTTCGGGGGCAGGGAGCTCGGGGAAGCTGCTAGCTTGGACAGAGGCTACAGGTGGGTGACAAAGGCTTATAAAGAAAAAGACACTGTCGCCTGGCCTTAAGCAAATCATTTCATCAGACTCTGAGCCTCTGTTTCCTCACCAGTGAGGCTGTGAGGATGAAGTGAGACTGGTCACATGGAGCCCTTGTCCTGCACTAATATGCACTCAGCAAGTGTTAGTGTTCCCCTTCCTGGCAAAGAAGGGTTTGGTTGGAAATGGTCTAGTCTGGGATGCTGGTCAGACTTACCCAAGGTCAAAGAAAGGCTGAGTAATATTTAGGATCCTAGACCATCCATGGTCTAAAGGAACTGCCACAGTCACCTTTCTACTGCCACCTCCTAAGTCAGAAAGTTATAACTACACTTTGTACTTGTATCTTTCGTCTGTTGAATACCTACTGTGTGCCTGGTCCTGCACTAAACACTGAGAATACAGAGATGCTTTTTAAACAAAAACAGACATGACTCTTTTTCTCCTCCAAGTAAAAGAGAGGAGCCTTGGAGAAGTAGTCCAATCCCTCAATTTCTGGATGATGAAATATATGCCCAGGCTGGTGAAGTGACTAGCCCATGGCCACACAGCATGGCAGGGGAGGTCAAGACCAGACCCTCTTCTACAGTGCTCAATCCCCATCCCACTAAGCCCTGAGGTCAGGCTGCATCTGTGAGGCCTCAGATTCTACTCAGGCTCCAGTGCAGTCGGTAGCTGGCTGTGCAGCCTTAGGCAAAGCATGCTAGCTCTCTGAGTCTCAGTCTCCCCATATGTAAAATGGGGCCAATTATAATTCCCATGCCACAAGGTTGCCACAAGGCTCAAGATGCAGTAACATGTATGGAAATGCATTATACTTTGTTGACTGTGTATTGTGCAAGCAGTTTCTGCTCCTCCTCTGGTCACCTGGGCATCTTTCTCTAAGACAAGTCAGCCTTCTGTGGCCATACTGGGTGTTTCTTCTCTACCCAGCAGGCATTTATTTATTTATTTATTTTTTTGTGAGGAAGATCAGCTCTGAGCTAACATCTATTGCCAATCCTCCTGATTTTTCTCCCCAAAGCCCCAGTAGATAGCTGTATGTCATAGTTGCACATCCTTCTAGTTGCTGTATGTGGGACGCGGCCTCAGCATGGCCGGACAAGCAGTGCGACAGTGCGCGCCCGGGATCCGAACCCTGGCCACCAGCAGCGGAGCACGCGCACTTAACTGCTAAGCCACGGGGCTGGCCCCTCAGCAGGCATTTATTGAGCACCTCCTATGTGCTCCTCCACTTTTAGCAGTTACTAAAGACCTATAGGACATAACCCTGCCCCCAAAGGGCTCAGGCTGGTTGGGGAACAGCAGAAATGGAAGAAACATGGCCATCTACAATTAGGATCAAAATGAGTGGCATCGAGTCCGGAGTCCGGAGGGAAGCCACAGGACAGAAGAGACTTGAGCCCACCATAGAGACTAGATGTGGCTGGGCGGGGTGGTGTGGTGGAGAGAGAAGGCATTCCAGGCAGGAGAACAGCCCTGGCAAAGGCGCCCAAGAGGAACACTGTGGCAGAGGGACCAGGAGTGGCCTGCCCATAGAGCTGCTGGCTCTCGTGACGCCCTCCTGGCTCTTGGGGCCATTGGAATGAAGAATGGGTAAGGGGAGGAGAGGGAGGTTCTGGGGTAGGCCCTGGCACGGCCACAGGTCTGGGTGTCCAGCCAGGGCCCTGCCCAGCCAGATCTGTAGCCAGATTTCTAGACACCTGCTCCCTAATCACTTCTGAACAAGCTGGAATCTGCCACTTTAGGGCCCTCAGCGGAAACATGTAGAGTCCTAGGGTGGGGCCTGGGGCCCAAGGGTAAAGAAAGCTGTGCTGGCCAGTAGGACTGCAGAAGTCAGGAAAAGGAGGGGGAGGCAGAGGAGACAGGGAACACGTCAGAGGACCTGGAAAGAGGAAGTAGCCCAGTCTCAGTTCCGCTCCCAAGGATGGGAAATACCCTCCACTCTCCAAGACCTTGGCAGCTGTCCATCTCCTTACATGATGCCACCAAACCTGGCACCAGGATCACCTGGGCCTTGGGCCCCATCCTCCTTTCAAGTTTCCCCAAGGCCTCTGAGTCCTGAGCACTTCCAAGGGACTGGGGCAGCCCTGTGTGGGCTGCAGATCCAGAATCCACACTGAGCAGGGCATAGTTGAGAGTTTTATTTAGGCTGGACACCCCATGGGCTAACGAATGGGGCCCAGCCCCAGAGCTGAAATCCAAGGAAGGATGCCAAAGTCAGCCCATCTCCCCTCCCCCTCCTCTCCCAAAAGGCCTTCAAGGAAGGAAGGGATCCAAACTCCCACCTACTCAAGGATAGAAGAGTTGGGGCCCATTTGAAGACCTCCAAATCCAGAGATTTGGTTTATGAAGTCAGAGCCTGGCTATGCTGGGAGAATGGCCCGCAGACCCTGGCAAGAAGTGAGGGGGTAGGAGCTGGTAAGCCCCTCTCCTTCCTTCCCTCCTCTGCAATCTGCTAGAACCCAAAGCAAGAAAGAAACCAGGCCTCAGGAAAGAGAGGATAGGAAGACAGAGAATATGAAGTCCCTCCTCCTTGCCTGTCACTCTCCTGGGCCCCTGCATCTTGTTGGCCTTGTTGCCAGGACATTGGCAGGGAGACTAGTAGCTGGTAGTTCTAGCTGCAGGTCTCCGCAGTGGCAGGGCCCCTCTCAGGCCCTGCTCCACCCACAGCTGCCCCAGGAACTCAGCCTCTCTGGATTGAACAACTCTACATTAAGTGCCTACTAAACTGCCATCCCAGTGCGGGCTCCACCTCAGGTCTAGTAGGCACAGACCAGAGGAAGAAGTGATGACTCACGAGGCAAATTGTTCTGCTGTCCACCAAGCTATACTTGGTTCTCGATTTCCCTTGTGCATTTTCTTGTTTCCTGAGTCTAGCCTGGGTTCCTCTCTCCCATTCCCACCTTTTCTGGTCCACCTTCCCTGTCACAAGGCAGGCCTTGCACAGGAAATGCAGAACATTGGGAGATAGAGCTCTCCCACACTGCCTCCCCTCCTTGCCCACCCCATCGCAGGAGCCTAAAAACAAGAACATGTTTCTAGACTGTTCTCAGCACTGCCCTCAAAATTGGGAGGCACTGAGGCTGGTCAGCAGCAGGGAGAACAGATCCAGGTGGTGGACAGTGGTGTGGGAGGGCATGGCAGGGTTGGGGGGAAAGGGTTGAAAGAGCCAGAACCAAGCACAGAGTGGGGCAAGGCAGAGTAAAGGCCCAAGCTCAGCCTTCAGCTCTTAGCGGAAGTTGGCTTCCAGTAGGAAGGTTAAAAATAGTGTCCGGAATCACCTCCACTCCCACATGACTTTGCCTATTGAAGATATGACTGGTTTTCTGGTCCCTGGTGTCAGCCCTGCAAAAGGAAGCAGAGCTCCCAAGTAGAGCTCCCTCTAGAGTCTCCAGGCCCTGTGCACACTGGGCTGAGCTGGGAGGGCTTCGCTCTCCAGGACACCTGGAACTTGTCCCACAGGCTCAGGGGCTTCCTGGGAACCAGTCCTTCCTCCCTGGAGAATGGCCCGCCCCTTTTGTTTCTGTGAGAAAGCCACTGCTACTTTGCCAGACTCTGTCCCTAGAGGCCTGACTCTCCTGGGGACTCTCATGCCACAGGCTGGTGGTGTACTCAGAGAAGACTCCTCATCGTCCACAATAAGGGGCCAGCCCAGGCCTTGAAGACCCAGGGAGGTGAAGGCAGCCCAGGGGAGCCCGGGAGGGGCAGGTGCTGAGCCAGGAGCCTCCTCCTGCAGAAAAAGAAAAGGGAGATTCAGAAAGAGATGAGGCTTGGGAAGGATTCCTCTAAACCATCGCATCTGGCGAGGCTTCTCCTGAACAAGAAGAGAGCGACAGAGGGGGGAACACGTGGAGAAGCTGAGTGTGGTGTTCTCTGGGGAGGAGATGAGAAACTGAGGTCCCATGCAGGATGGCTGGAGGGAGAAAATGTTTGGATCGGAAAGAGCAACTGCAATGTGGAGAAAGGATGGGCTTGAAGGCAGGGGGAGGGAAGGTGTAACCAGAGGGTCAGCCAGCCATGAAGCACGGGTGGCTCCTGAGCTTAGAAAGTTCAGAAACAAAGCTCTAGAGTGACACTTCTTGGAGAGGGTGGCCATCTGAAACCTTCATCTCAGAGCAAAGGGTTGAGATAGAAAACTCTATTCTAGAAGCTTCCATATGATTAGAAATAGAACCTCTCCAGGAAAGAAAGACAGGACATGGATTGGGTGGACAAGTGGAAAAGGAGCAGCCCCCTGCCGGCAGGAGGTGGGGACAGCAGGACCCCAGGCCTTCACTCTGGGTTCCAAGCAGTCCTTGGTGCTAGGCTTGGGTGCCTGGAGTCTCTGAGGACCTACTGAGACATCAAACTCACTCAGGAGCTCACCAAACTTCCACTCACCTTTCTGGGACTCCAGAGGCTGATGCTCCCCCATCAGACTAGCCTGTCGGAGAACTTCATGTAGACACCATCTGGGCTGCTGATGTGGCCACTGATGGTGAAAGGTGGACCTATCTCCAGCTCCTTCAGGTTCCTGAGAAAAATGATCCAACCAAGTTATCGGGGCTGAGAATCTGGCCTCTCCCTGGTTGCCCAACTCCTTGACCAGAGCATGGGAAGAACTTCCGGGCAGTGACTCACTGACTCACTGACTTATCTTCCAGAATAGGAGTTACCTGGGCCAGACAAGGAGCAGGCCTGCCCTGAGGCAGTGTGTGGATAAGATGACTTACCCCAAGAGGACCTTTCTTTCTTTCTTTCTTTCTTTTGCTGAGGAGGATTCGTCCTGAGCTAACATCTGTGCCAATCTTCCTCTATTTTGTATGTGGGTCACCACCACAGCATAGCCGCCGTCGAGTGGTGTATGTCTACGCCTGGGAACCAAACCTGGGCAGCTGAAGTGGAGCACACTGAACTTAACCCCTAGGCCACAGAGTGGCCCCCCAAGAGAACTTTCTGACTCTCACTCCCTGAATCCCTGATTGTCTTCATTTGCTCCTCTCTTTTGACACCATATTGTGCCCGACATTATATTATTTGTAATCAGGCCTGTGTCCACCATAGATAGTGAAATGCTTGAAGACAGACTATGCTCACTTATCTTTGAACCCTTAGAAACTAATCCACAATACCTGTTACAATAGATCCTCACTGAATAAACGATGAGTAGATGATGAATGATGAGTGAATGAATGAATGGACAGATGGATGGTCCCCGCCTGGGGGTGAATGTTAAGATCACTGTCATCAGGGTCTTACATGGTCCTGTCCAAGTTCAAGTTTTTATTCACGCAACTTTCTAAATGGACTCTCACTCCTTCGTTTTCCCTTGTTTGCTTAGGGGTATGGAGAGGAGACAGGGAAGGGAAGCAGTAAGTTTTGGCTCTATCTTTGATTTTTTCTCAAGCATAACTAACCCCCCGCCCCCACCCCACTCAGATCTGCCTTGAATCTACTCACCGGATTTGGTACAAGTTGAAGACAAAATTAGGCCCTAGGAAGACAATCCAAAAAGAGAGAGTTAGTCCTCCCAGGGAGAGCTGCCCATCACTCTTCTGGAAACATCTGGTGCTCCCTCACCCCTGTCAGGGAGGAGTGGGGTGACTGGGCTGGGCCTCAGGATGCTGTGGGAGGGTCCCAAGCCTGCTTCCTGCCCCACACCCATGGGTGCACCCCATCTTCCCAGACAGAATCACCAGCTTTTTGGGGGCAGATCCTGCCACTGAGGTTCCCTCCATTAAGGGCACTGATTACCCTAGGAAGGAGGCAGTCCTAGCTTGGAGCCCAGCAGAAGACCTGGGCCTGAATCTGGACTCCACCACTTTCCAACCCCGTGACTTTAGCTTCACATTCTCATCCATAAAAAATGGAGACTAAGAATTTCATCCTCACATGGAATTTTAAAGAAAATCATATTAGACAAAAGTGCATTGGCACTTAGTAGGTGCTCCACAAACATTCATGGAAGCTGTTGAAGTTAATTGCAGATCCAGGAAATGTTCTCTATCTCTCAGCATTCCAGCACGCCCTCCCAGCTCTCCTGGGTCCTATGGGAAGTGCAGATATGGATCAGAGTTGAGAGAACCACAGCAAATTCCAAGGGACTCCCCTTGGAGCTGAAGCATCAGCAAGCTTAGGAGAGGGCCCTAAGACCCACAGGCAGGGGAAGAGATGCACAGGGAGCCAGAGTGGGGGACACTTGGAGCTTGGCCTGTCTGGCCCATTGCCCTTGGCCTCGAGGCCCACACAGGCCTCGAGGATGGACTCCTGTAGGCTCTGAGGAAAGAGGAAGCTGGGTGCTTGCTGGGGTGGGAGGAGCCCCCACTCTCTCAGTAAAGGCCCCAATACCCCACCCCCACTACCTCTAGCGCTCAGCCACCCACTCAAGTCTTCAACCACTGCAGCCACCACAGGAAATATTTTTGCATGACTCCACGCTAAAGACTTTGCAGCCCCACCCGGCCTTGCTAACTGCTACTGGAGGGAAGGGGTTGAGCAGAGCTGAGGCAATAGGGTCCAGTGTTTACTCACCCTCCCAGCAGTACCCACGCTGGTACCACTTGGCCAGGCTGTAGCCCAGGATGGACACGAGCAGCAGTGTTAGCCCCACGCCAAGGATCAGGCCCAAGGTGCTGATGGAGTCCTCACCTGCAGAGAGACATAGCCTCCTTCACCCAGCTGCCCAGAGCCCTCTCACAGCCCCCTACACCAACTGACCTGCACCATGTTCCAAATTTCCTCTCCTCCTTCCCCACTGCCACCAAAATGACTGTCCCCCAAGAATCTTGCTCTGAGCTAGCTAGTTGAGCTAAGCCATACTAAGACGTGAATGTCTGATATCTGATTTTTTATAGTGAGCTTGTTTATCCAAAGTAATAGTCCTCTGACAATAGAGATAGTTTGGAGCTGGGAGGCCTTCTTGAAGCCACAGGCTTCTACTCATTGGAAAAGGCGCTGCTGTTTGGGGGAGAGCCCGGGAGGTCTCTCCTGAGTGTGAAGCCTGGTGGTCAGGAAGGGCGGCCTGGAGGGTCCCAAGAGCAGATCCACAGGACCCTCCCCCTGAAGCCTGCATACCCAGTGGCAGAGTGTTAACCCTTGGGCTCCGTTTGATGCTTATATCTTTATCGTTTCTTCCCTTTTTGTGGTATGAGCTCTTAACTAAATTTATATTTTATTTGTAAAGCCAAACCAAAAGAGACACAGAGATTGGAAACCTGCAGGGCGATGAGACAGGCCTGAAGCAGAAGCAGAGAGGGAAACCAGGTTTGCAGGAAGAGGCTGACCATGGGAGCACCGTGGAGGGCAGGGCAGGGAAGGAAGAGGAGGGCCAGCCCCACTCCTGCTGGATGAGCTGCCAGGAGCACAGAAGAATAAAGTGATTCCCTATCTGTATATGGCCTGGTGTCCTGAGGCTCCAGGGGTGTTGCCAAGAGGCCAGGAGGTGCAGTGGTGAAGCACTGCCCTTGGCACAGCAGGCTTGTGTCCGAAACCCAGGTCTATCATTTGCAAAATGTGAAAAATGTGTGAGGGAAAGCAAATCCCTTTCCCTCACTAGACTTCAGTTTGCTTTTATGGAAAATAAGCATAATAATAAATACACATAGAGTTGTTGTGAAGATTAATGGAAATGCCATATAAAGCATTCAGGAAGGAGCTGGCATACACCAAGTGTTCAGTAGTTGTTAATTATGTCATTATTGTTGTTGTCATTATTATCAACGGTGTGACTGTATTTTTAAAATATTTCACAATTCCCGCCATGCAAGCCTTTCCCTCTCCCATGCCCCTTGGCCCTTCTCCTCATGTAAGCAGCCAGGTTATTGTCTACTCAGGGAAGAGAATGTGACAGCAAAATGCAGAGAGAAAGGGTCTATCCTCCTAGTTCTAGATTTCAAAAGTCCAGGCCCTTAGAGAAATGGAAAGGATTCACAACATAGACAAGAGTTGAGCAAAAGCAAGATTATCCTCCTCACCGTACTAGGGAAGATATCTCCAGCCCGAGAGGGAAGGGAGAAAGCGAGATAAGAGAGATGAAGAAAAAGCACTGGGAAACATTGAAAAGATGTCAGTGGGTTCCAGAGAGAAAGTCCTTGTTCCTTGATCCAAAGTTAAGTTCCAGGGAGGCAATAGAATTCCCAGATAGATCTGTAGGATCTGAGAGCTGGACTGGGCCCCAGAGAGACAACAAAAGCCCAGTAAGAATAGTTACACGGAGCACCTTGGCCGATGGAGCCTCAGCTTTGAAGAGTTGTTGTGCTCTCTCATGGCATGGGAGCAACCAAATGATTTCTGTGTCCCAAAGAGGGGTAGGGAAGTCACGCAGAGGCTCTCCAGACCTGAAGGAGTCATACAGCTGGGTTCTAGGGAGACCTCTGCAGCACCCTGCATGGCTGATGCTCAAAACCCAGTTCAGCTGATGGCCATTGCCATGGGTTGCAGTGTGAGCAGATGGCATCAGGGACTATGCACCCCTCCCCCATTCCTTAAGTCCCCAAGAAAAGGAGGAAACAGGGATCCCCAAAGCCACCAATGGCATCTTCTCTGTGCCAGGCACTATTCTAGGCACTTGTATTACAGCAATAAGTAAAACATAAAAATCCCTGTCCTCATGGAGATTATATTCTGGCGGAGGGAAGCAGACAATAAACAAAATAAAGAAATAAATTATATAGTATATTGGAAGGTGATACATGCAAGGGAGAAAGAAAGAAAGGAGAGCAAGAGAGAGAACGCACTGTGGGGATGAGAGTACAGTTTTAAATACAGCAGTCAGGGAACGCTTCGTGGAAAATGTGACAATTGAGGAGAAAGCCCTGAAGGAGGTGAGAGAAAGAACAAGGCGTGTAGACTGCTAGAGCGAAAATGTTCTAGGCAGAGGGAGCAGCAGGTACAGCTGAGGCACAAGCATGCCAAGCAGGTTCCAGGAGCATCAAGGAGCCCTGAGTGATGAGCAGGAGAGCTGCAAGAGACGGGGTCAGGAGCCACATAAAGCCGTGTTTTGAAAGTGATAAGGGAAGTTTGAGTTTTTCTCTGAGCAAGGTAGGGAGTCATGAGAGGATTTTGAGCAGAGAAGTGACATGATCCAATGTTTTAAAAGGATCACGCTGGCTGCTACTGTAAGAATAGGCGTGGTAGGGGATGATGATGAAGGAGGAGACCCGTCAGGAGGCTACTGCAAAAACCCAAGCGAGAGATGATCATTGGGGGAAAGTAGTGCCAGAAACTGAGAGGCTCAAGTCAGAGAGAGATCATCTGTGTGAATAAGAAAGAGCACAACAGTGGCCCAAGAGCTCAAGTCTTCAAGAACTAGGGGTAGTAACCCCGGGGTGAGTGGAAGGATGACTCAACAAGGTGAGGTATTAGTATTTGTGGTGTTTGTGGAAGCTGGGGTTTTGAAGGGTTTCATCAAAGAAAAGTCTGACCAGGAGTAGAAAGTACCAGGAGGAAAACACCAGCAGGGGAATCACAGCCCTTCTAGAAATGCAGCTTGAGAGAGAAGCAGTTGCACTATCCTGTTTGCTACCATTTTTTCCCACCCCTAATGATGCCTCTGGCTTCGGTGGCTTGCAGACACATTTAATTACTCTATTTACCTCTTTATCTTTCTAAGAGGCTCCTTTAACTAATATTCTTTACCTATCCTCCCTTTTGTATACCTTTAAATTTTTATTATAAGATATTTCATGCACACAGAAAGTACACAGAGTGACGTGATGAACATCCACGTACCAATCTTCAAAGAATTCTAAAATTTTGCCATTCTTGCTTATTAAGTATCTCAATTTCAAAATAGTCCTCTCCCGCCTCTCCCTCTAAGTAACTATTCTCCTAAATTTGGTGTTTAGCTTCCCTATGCATGGTTTTTATACTATTATTTCATTTTTTCCCATGAACTATATAAATATATAGCATTGTTTTACATGTTCAAAACTTTATAAAAATGATACTAAGATTACTTCCACTTCCGGCCCCAGTAAAATAATGGAGACCAGATTTACTCTCCCAGCTGAGATAACTAGAAAACCAGAAAAAATAGGTTAAATTATGGAGAAAGGTAGCGCGAGAGGGTGATCCCGGAAGAAGGAAGTGAAATGCGGTGCGCTCTATGCCCGCCTGGCTTACTGCCTGGGGTGTTTCCCACTCACCTTACAAGGAGGTGGGAGCAGAAGAGAGTCCAGCAGTCTGCGCTGAGGAGAAAGAACTTGGCATCCAGGAGACCCACACAGTTCAAATTTACAGGACAAAACACCGGGAAGAGGGCCTGCCCAGAGAGAGTTCCAGAGAGATGTCTGCAAAGGGGTCGCCTGAAGTCTTTGGCTTTGGCGTGTCCTTTAATTTTGCTTATGGTGTCTTTTATAAGCAGAATTTTAACTTTTATTTCAGTTAAATTTATCCATATTTGTAGCTTTTAAAATCTTATATAAGAAATCCATCCCTACTTCAAGGTAGACTCCTTAATTTTCTTCTAAAAGTTTTAAAGTTTTGTTTTTCAAATTTAGGACACTAGTCTACCTGGGATTCATTTTTGTATATGTTATAAGAAAATGATCTAATTTTTATACAGAAAGTTAATTTTCTATACTTTCCTCCCATTATCTTCATTGCCACCACTTTCATATATCAAGTTTTACATATATGTATCTTCTTTTTCTGGGCTGTCTATTGTCTCTTGGTCTAAATGTCTAACACTATACCACTCCTAAATTATCTTAGTTACTATGGTCTCATAATAAATCTTGATAGCTGGTAAAATAAACACTGCACCTAGTCTCCCTCAAAAACATATTAGTTATTCTGGATACTTTGCTTTTTCATGTGAATTTCAGAATCAGCTTTTCAAGATCAGTGAAAATCCTTATTAAAATATTGATTAGGATTACAGTGGATTTTTAGGTTCATTTGGACGAAACTGATATATTTGTTACATAGAATCTTCAAATTTATAAATATGGCATATATTTTAATTTGGGGAATCATCTTTTATAGGCCGTCATAATTTTTATAATTTCCCCCTTAAAGGTTTTACATACCTCTCGTTAGATTTATTCTTAGGAACTTTATAGTGTTGTTGCTACTGTGAATAGGCACTTGTTTTGTGTATATTGGTCTTAAGTCTAGCAATGTTGCTGAAATCTTTCATTCTAATAGTTGTTCTGTGGTTTCTCTTGGATATGTAGACTATCATATTGTCCATAAATGAGGGCAATTTAGTCTCTTCTACTTATTTCTAAATTTATTTTTCTTGTCTTATTGTATTGATTAGAACTTCCAGTATAGTGCATTTTGATATATATATATATATTTAATGCTCTAAATTTACCCCTAGTATCACTTTAGCTTCATTCTGTAAGGTTTGATATGTAATATTTTTACCTTTGTCTCATCTAAATGTTTTGTAATTTCTACTGGGATTTCCTCTTTAACCCATGAATTCTTTGGCAGTGCCTTTTTAGTTTCCAAATATATGGAATGACGTGTTTTTCTTTTTACTGTTTATTAAGACAAATTTTGGTTATAGCATCATGGCTGATACTTTTTATAACAAAAGAGAGTAACGGTTAAATTAATTTCAATAATGGCTCAGTGTTTTCATCTAATTCATGAAGTCAAAGTAAAGCTTTTGGAAGCTCAGTCTGTAGAAGGTAAAACATCTGAGATTATTGTGAATGCTATTGAAAATTC